GAACCCGTTTTGTTTCATTGTTTTGATACTTTGGCTTCCTAAAATAGCCCATTCGTACCTTGTCAATGATCGACTTTACCAACTTTGTCATAACTGAAAGGAAATCAGTGGGCCAGAGCTTGAGAGTTCAAGATGGCTGTAACTCCTGATTTGAAATAATTATACACTGCTTCTCCACGTTAGTGACCTGCTGTTTGTCCAGGCATCTTTGAAACACTCGGGTAAATGTCTCGGATACCATCGCAGTTGCTACCTGTAGGGCTTTCGGGTAAAGGTTATCAAATCCGGTATAATGTGGGATTGCCAATAGAGCAGCTTTCTGGAAACAGCTACGTGACTAATAGTCACCTGTGTCAGTGCTGCAGCTTAGGGTAATGGGCGTGTACTTGACAAATGCGGTAGGGCGTCGGGAAAGTTTGATTACATTTTGGTTATACAGTGTTGGTTGCATATTCAGTGGTTGGATCGCATCGATTTGCCGAGATGACTGGTGAGTTATCTGGAACCTTGTAACATCATAATGCCTGAGCAGCACAGCTTCCATCGACGGCAGTTATGTACAACGAATTTACTAATTGCACGTAGTAGTTGGACCGATTCAGCTGACGCTGGAGAAGGCGTTGATGTGATCTACCTGGATTTTTCAAAGGCTTTCGATCGTCTAGACCATCGGATACTACTCTCCAAGCACCAACATTACGCGATCGACGACGCTCTTTTAACCTGGATTGCCAGTTTTCTACTTCAACGACAATTAGTGGTCAGATTTGGGAGCTGTTTATCGGATTCATACACTTTGAGTTTGATATGTCACAGAGCTCAGTTCTAGGTGCATGTTCGTGTTTTGTGCTTATTAATGACCCCGCACAGGAAATGGTTTCGAAATTCCTAATGTTTGCCGACCATAACAAGATTGGGCGCAGAATCCAGGCAAACCCCACCCAGGATCCGTTTAATAGAGAATTAGACATGATATGTCAATGGTCAACCAACATTTTCCTGACTTTCATCTTCAGTAAATGCACTGTATTTCTATCTGACATCGGAGCAGCTACTTATACCGGTGCACAACAAACGAACTGTAACAAACAACTGTCGAAACGCACTTGCATTTCCTGGTTAACGACAACTTGGGTTGAAGCATTCAATCCGAAAATGCTTTGAAGCCTGAAAACCAATACGCCGGGCTGTTGCGACAGGTATTTTAAAAAATTAACCACTCCATATTTCAACAAATGCCAAGTGTGTACGTTCGCCCCCATGTAGACTACTCAATTAATGCCAGGCATCCAGGGCTGAAACGACGTCATTAGAATGCGCAAGCTTTCAAACGTAGTGAGGTTTTAAAGATTGATGGTGTTCAGTGAAAGCCGTCATAGACTACGAGGTGATCTGATTATGGCACACTTGCTTCTGTGAGACCCACATCATGTGTTCCGCCCCTTGTCACGACTCAGCACCAATAAAACCCTAAGGGGACAATCATTGAAACTCGCTGTACAGTAAGGCCGCCTGGTGAGCGGCAGAAATCGCTTCTCAATTCGCGTCTGTCCACCGTGAAATACTCTCCCATAATCGATGATTTCTGCACCGGCAATAACAGTATTTAAAAGACGATTAGATGATGCACCCATCCACTTACACTTTGTCACTTAGTCCTACGTCTTCATCCTTGACCTGTTGTTTGCCATGGAATTATTTGATATTAACTGTTGGTGCTGTGAATGTAAGCGGATTGCAGGAATACGGCGGAACAAACGCTTAGTCTTTGTTTGCAAATTTAAGTAATAACTGCTCATTATTAAGCTTATTATTGTTATTTTAATATTCTCAGCAACTTTCCAACGGTACTTTTAAAGCCAATCTTCTTAACTTGTGGAAATTCATTTTTAATTATTCTTCCGTTTTCCTAAGCTGTTTAAATGGATGTAAAGAAGCTTTTTAATATTAAAATGCGTGCACAATACGCTCTGTTTGTTTAATGATTTTTCTTCCTGCATAAATTCGTACAGCAACTCCACTACCCAACTAGTTGTTTAAGTGACCAGGACTAGGATTTCTCCTGTACGCTAACCACGCTTCATCTCTCAGCACCATGAGTGTTCACGTTTAGTTGCGAATAGTTAGTGGATCTGGCAAAACGAAGATATTTGCTGATCATATGGGTCTGCCGAAGTCTCCAAGACTCAATGCAAAAGCTGTCCACATGCGGAAGTCATGGGGCTGGAATCCGATGTGAACCGATTTACATGCACCACTGATGAGACCCGGAAGGTCGACATAATTGTCTCGAACGTATCCAGCCGTGTGGGATCCCGTCTGACAGAGTAGTCATTGCGACAAACTAACTCTAATATTGGCAGAATAACCTCAAAAGTACGACTAATTAAGCATAGTAAACCGAGGCTTATGTAAATGGGAAATATTCTTAGTAAAATAGTAAAAGATGAATTCCAAGGAAACAGTGCCTAATTTGTTGGCATGCGCTCCATTTGGATGGTAAATAAAGCGACATTATTGACGTGAATCAACTAGCGAGTATAAGGATGAATAAACGCATGCACCTTACCTGCACTTCTTCAATGTTTAGTATGATTGTGCCCCCTCGGTCATTTGTGATCCTCCAGATGCATAACGTGTTGGTTTCATTTAATATCCTTAAGAATATGGCATTTGATGTGCTTGTATTCATCTCCGTTCCACAATTGTCTGCAAAACAAACCCTAAGAATTACGATGTGTCTTCAGGCAGAACTAAAACAGATATGAAACTGCTATTATTTATTGTATACTCACAAGTAGTCATACTTCAGAAAGTGTAAACCGTAAACTAGTATATTTTACCTGTATTTTTGTACACTTATGTATAAGCTAATAATGATGTATAATACACACACTGCAAGGATCACATTATCTGTTCTCACATTTGAACCAAGAATATTCGTTATGCTTACGCATAACATGATAGATGAATATTGTTAGCCAGCGCAAAGTTCCCTTCCAGCTTATCCGAAAGAACCTAGTCTAGACACTGCACATAAACAACGCAGACGGTTTCATAAAATGCCAGCCCCTTCTGTTGATGCATTCGTACATACCGACCTCAGATAACCGGTAGTTGCCATTTACTACTGGAGTATGTAAGTTTCATTGTAGAGTGAATATAAAAGCAATGGATTATATTACATTGATATTTTCAAATATTACAGATGAGTAATTCAGGCTTATTATTTCGACACCACATTAGATTTAAACTAGGATTTCAACTACTTAAGATGCGTAAATTGTGTGATATAGTGCTTGGTAAATGAATATTAGGGTATTGATTGTTTGTGAGTATGTAACTTTTGTAGAAACTAAAAGCAACGAGTAAACTTTGCACAATAATCTGCCTCGACGGAAAATCGAACCCCGGACGTACGGATTACCGGGACGGACAGGCACTCCGTATGTACCGGACTCGATTCTCCGTCGAGCAGATGGTTGTGCAAAGTTCAATCGTGGCTTGTACTTTATACAAAAATGACTATCATTTTTGAATCGTATCAGGGCAAACCTTGTAATCTTCCGTGTTTGATGGCACTTTGCTAATTCGCTCTGTATAAATTAAATCACGGGAAGGATATTTCCACTTTGCATAGGCTGTACGCATTACACAGTTAGCTGTTACCAAACGCTAGCACCTAGGAACAGCGCAAACGCGAGTGCTGAGTGTTAAATACTGAATCCTACTCATCAGTCGAAAAATGTATACACTAGTTGTGAGTAGCCAGATGGACCAATAAAATATATGGCGCAATGGAACAATGGTTTTATGGAGGTGAAAATGCAAATAATTGACAGGTCCCGTAGGATGGTTGTGCTGAGACATGAAAATATATAGCAGTATAGTAAAATGGTGCTTAAAGCGCTAAGAGTTCTACGGTATAGGTAGCATAACCTGTAAATCCACTGTAAATCAGTATGTAAGGAAGTTATAAGGACGTTGGCAGAAATTCTATCTTCTGATGTACAAATATGCGAGGTGACAAAGTGAAATGAAATCTGGGATTTGAGCGCCAGTAAACTTTCGTTCAGACAAGGCAAACTATGAGTTGTGATGTGCGCTATATCCACAATAACCGAGATTTACACAAGACTATTATTTATGGAGTTATCATAATGTAATGCTATTTCAGAAGGTTTAAGTCAATCCAGTCTATGGGTTTTCGCCTGGCAAGCGTTCTCCTTATAAAAAGCCACGAATGTCTGCTTAACAATACTGCAACGTGGCGGATGTGACTCGCAACAAAACGCATAACGTTTATTAGTGTAGTTATATTACAATATTCATGCTTCTCAGGAAGGTGTAGATCTGTATAAAGTATATCAAATCATGTTTGCAATTACACGGTTTGCAATAAGCGCAGTATGAACCGAATTGTCAACAGATGTCCACAGGTCTTAATTCCTTTAACGGTGAAGGTGAAATCAAAATGTAAGTTGATAACTGCGGGCCTGTGCGTCTGAACCTAGATCGCTTACAGCTTACAGTCCGATGCTCAATTTAGACGTGTTTGCATATCAATAAATTACATTCGCCTCGCTTTTAGTCAACTTGTTTTCAGCACAACGTCAGCGGAGACGCTGACATAACTTTAAACTGGGAAGGAGAGGAACTCTGTTACTTTCTTAATGCACCATACGCAACCGTTGTCGAAATCAATTAATTAACATTGAGAAGTAAATGAACTAGTTATTTTGCTTTGTAAATCACGAGTTTGTGGCACACGTGGTGAGTTGTGGCTGAAACGTAGAGCTCGAACACGTGCTGGTTCGAATATTCTTCGCATATTTGTTTCATCTGCTTGTGACAAATCTGCGATCAGTAAATTAGCCAGGTGGTCAGCACTAGTCACACTATCAAAGCAATCCGTCACCCTCTGAGGCACAAAACTTTTAAGACCAGCTTATGCTAACTCCTTGGACAGCTGCTGTTCCAGCAGGCAAGGTATTTTAAATTTAAGTTATGCGTGTACATTTCCAAAGAGAGAGGCGTAACTCACGTAATATGTGCTGGGAGGTAGTATCGACTGAAATGTAGAAAAAGAGATTGGATCAAGAACACTGCGTAAAACTAACCAATTTGGATTCGATCATTGAAATGTGGATGACACGTATCTGACTAACGTTATTTATGTGTTAGTTATGTTATCTATTCCTCAGTACATATTTAGCACTTACTAATTATTGAGACCGGTTCTTCTCTATTTAAATATGGATTTTGGAATTTCAATTTATCGGCAGGCGTGTTGTGCATTGATGCGCGCCCATGAACCATCTGTTGTCACCCGGTAAGTACCTGACACGCATGTTGCTGGCGTGACCTTTGAGACAGCATTAACACTAGTAATGTGCATAAACATTTATTTATATATCTGCAAGCAATTGGGCGATTTCTGCCATTGTCTTCTTTTGACGTAGATCCAACACCATTCTCTTAGCAATCAAAAACATAACCGATCGAAAACCTTCTGGTTTCTGTTCGATTTGTTGTCGCATGAAGGGATTGCGGTATGACCGAATTTTAACCATTATCTTGTATCAATTTGACGGTACTCAACTCACGGATATCATTCTTCTTCCAGTTGTCTATCAGCGTTTCTAAACAAACATTAAGGAATGAGTAGGATAGAAACTGTTGCAAAAGAATATTCCATTTATAAGGGCATGTAAAAACAGCAGCATTTACTCGTTCGTCGTATCCACTAGCTTAATGACTAGACTACAACTTTTAAGCTTAGTATCTTAGGAAGCGGGATGCATTAGCTTGCAACAGCAAAATTTATGAACTTGTGGCATTGACTTTTGCCGAACAAAAATATGTTTATATTTTGCCAATTTCATATTACAGGTTATTTTAACGAACTTTGTAAATTTAGGAGGAGCATCCAAAAATGATGTTGCTCGATACTTTCAACAAAACTCTTGAAGGTGCTTAGTCAATTTACTGTATACCATGACCTAACCATGATAGCTGTGTTGAGATATAATTTCCTTTTAGTTACCTGCTACAGAACAATATAACTAGCAGAATTGTTTTACACAATTGACAGTCGATTAGTACAAAGGCCCGAGGTTCTAACATTTAGTTTTTTACTCGGTAGTAAAATGTACATTAAAACCTGTTTCAACGTTGTTCAATAAATACGCACATGCGAAATTACCATAGTTGGTTTGGAGTGAATTACCTTGTGAAACAAAATGTTTAAAACAATTGCTAGAAGACGCACCAACTGGCCACTTGCAAATCACTTCATAAGAACCCATGTTCAATAGGAATAGCAAAGAATTAAACATTAAAATATTAATTGAAATCTAAAACAGTTAGTTCCCTTTAGGAACTTGAAGAGCACTAGAAGAAGACGAAGTTCGGCAGATGCATGCATTTCGTATCGCCTCATCAGTGCCGATAACGATAACCGGTAATTTTATATAACAGTTTGTGGGTACAGACATCCATATAAACAAACGCGAGAAAAAGGTGTCTTTCGTCTACGACTAGCGCAGCCTGAGGCTGATCGATAATTGTTTTTGAACACAAAGCACTGGCCTTATCCGACTAATGGCAATGGCCTCGGCAAACCGGAGGAGCCGGGAATTAGTATGGCGAAGCAGGATTCTGAACGCCTTGTTGACCTCATTTCGGTGACCTGTTGTGACAATAGGCTGCTTGGATGGAGCCGAAAATATTTCCAAAGGACAAGGATTGGAGTGCATTCGAGGTACGAAATAGCAACAAGCTAACCAACAATGAACGAAATAAGGTGCTTAGCAGCAACGCTTTTAGGTTGAAACGTCCACTATTGACATTAGCAGGAAGCCAGAATTATAGTATTGTCTGGTACGCATTTGATGCGGCTACGCTACTAAAATATGACCAACAAAATTTTGACCAATTTTTATAGGTCCATTCACTCCGAAATTGCACGCATATTCATACACAGCTTGCGCCTTATTGCGAGCACTTGTATTGTCATTTAGCAATGAAATAATGTTGTTTGTTTTAAAGTGTTTAAGCGAAATCATCCACTTCAGCTCGTTTGTGCATTATCAACCGTTTCCGTGACATCAAATATGAAGATTTGGCTTTTGGCTAAACAGCTGCGTTATTGCTGACCTTGGGAGCAATTTTAAGTAGCGTTTAACCAGTTGAATTCTCCAACAGATTGTCAGATAAGCATTCAGCCCAATGTCATATAACTGATTACACCGACTGGGCGTTATGGGTCCTGGATATCCTCGGTCGTAAAAACAGGCAAACCTATGGTGCCGCGACAATAGCGACTTGTGCCTAGAGTCAGCTATTTGTGCCAACTGGACTTGGGGACAACGATGCACCGCCATGTCATGCATGCTAACTGCGACAGAGTATCCCAAATTTTCCTATTTTCCTAGTTGCAGTCGTTGCAGAGATCTAGGACAAGTGTACTGAGAAACAAAGAAATGAAAAATAACATATTGTATTGTTCGGTAGTGTGAGCCACAACCCAATTTGGTTGTCTGAACGATTTGTAGAATGCGATCCATAAAACCTTAAATAGTAAATTTTCTATGATGGATCGTAAATGGAATTTTAGAGTGATTGCTGGGCCAAAAATAATAGAACCAATAAGAATCTGGGAAAATACTAGATACGACTTTCCATAAAACCTCGGGTAAATTAATATGGCCATCCACGGAGCGGTTTCTAGAGTATTACTTTGAAATTTCCCACTCGCATATCATTGTCCCATCTTGCTACTGCGGGCTTGAGCAAAGCGCAGAGAGGCCGTCCCCGTTTAACTTGTTTTATGACGGTATTTATGAATAATTTATATTTGATTATTTAATGAGGCCAGTCTGTCATTCGGCAATTTAGATTATGGCACAGTTTGTTTGTCAGAAAGATTTAACTAAACCGTCAGTCGCCATGCGCCTTGCATAGGGTATTGGCACCCTCAGTCACTCACGTTATAAGGTCAGCTCAATGGTGTCCAGCAGGGAAAGAGACAGAAAATAACACCTAAAGAAATAAACATGACTAATGCTTAATCATTTTGAAGTAAGCTAAGCGCAATCTTGGAGAAAAACGACGAAGATACAGGGATTTCAGTAGGACAAATTTTCCACTCCGATCAAGCTTTTTCTAGCCTAGAGTGCAGTAAACCTAATCCAATTAGTGTTTACAATACCTCCGCACTTATGAAAGCTTTGTCACTAATTGCGGCCAAATGAATCAATATTGACAGCCAAATGATCACAATGAAAATAGGCAATATTGATCGCATAGCGATGTGCATTATAAGAAGTAGCAGTCAAGTGTATATTAAGTTTTCGGTGCTAATGATAATGAAAAGCAACAACAAAAAGTATTCAATTGGGATGCAAGCGTGCTTACTGCTTATAAAATGGGTACTGATTTTACGGAATAAAAGGAATGAGGGCAGTCGAAATTTTATATTGTTTCCAACTGGAAACACAAAAGGAATCTCTTTCGCTACCGTTCTAGGTTTTTTAGCTTTAATCAGCATTCAACTTTATTCCTATATTGCTCATCATTTTTGTTGTATTTTTGCTAGTGAACATAAGACTCTCATGCTATTTGACTTGTATATTAATCTGATTCTTTCTCTACTAGGGTTATCCACGGTATTTGCCAATTTGGTGTATGTTATATATGCGCCAGTAGAAGGAATACCACACCGGTTATTGCAAGTGTATAAAATTATGTACTCCGCATACAAAAAGGAAGCCTATTACGAATCAAACTGAGCATTAAATTTAAATACGCTCTCAAGCTGAGGATTTGCACACATTCCCTGCTGCTTAATATGCACACGTTGCTAAAATATTTGATTAAGAAGCTGAGATACAAGATAAACTGCGCTACCGAAAAACGTGGTTTTTAACTCGATGCATCTATCTCCATGCTGTCTCCATTTGATGAAAGCAGAAATGCTGGAAACGTGTAATCGTGTGCAGTGTTTTTCACGGGCAAGCAGTACTTTTATCCGTTTCAGCTAATGTCCTTTTGATCGAATGACCATTGTTCACTTCAATGGGAATCGCGGTCAACATCAAGATTGCGTGTCACAATCTATCCACAAAACGGTGTAATTCAAAATAACTAAAAAGTTCATCGTTAACCGTTGTGTCAAACTAAGTCAATCGTGAGCCGGCGTCCTAGGGTTAGTGGACGGGCTTAACATCCTATTTGACCCATGTTCGAGGTCTGCTATCAGAACAGCGGTATGGCAGTAGGAGAACTTTAGCTGCAAGCGTGAAGTGGTACAATCTTCTCAGCATATGTAAGCACTTAAAAACTGTCTGCTGCGAGAGTCAGATGAACGCGAGAACGAGTTCCAGTTCGAAGTAAGTCAATGGCGGACACTGATTGGGTGGTGTACAAACACGTACGCACACAGGTACACGCGCTTCTTCGCAGCATTCTTTCCGGCTGAAGAGCAGTAGATAGATTTGGCATGACCAATGACCGTATCATCCCTTCCACTTTTGGTTCAGGTAAACCAGTCTGGCAGCGTTCAATCTTTGGCAGAGAATATCCGCCTAGCTGTAATGCCTGGTTGACCATCTCTGTAATCCCCAGTGGCTCCGATGACATCGTCGTTCTTCAATACTGCTACTATAAGAAATACCTAGTCTGAATATTGAACCAGTTATAATCTACCGTCCAGGAGAATTTGTCGCGACTCTCACTCGATCTTATCATGAAGATCACAGGAAAATCCTCGAGATTTTCAATTGTTCGGTATCGCTTGTGGTTTCAACATTAAATTAGCAGCGTGATTTTTAAAATGTCTTGTCTAGACTTAACGAACAAAACCGCATGTTTCTACAGGATATCAGATAACTGGATGAGTTTCCACCAACTTGGTTTTCGATGTAATCCCAGGTAGACGTTTCATTTCGTCACTACCAGGTGTATTTCGGCCAGGTCCTCTAGAAGCCTACACACACGTATTATTCTGTTGAATTATGTTAAGGGATGCGTGCAATCAATGTGCCCAACACCTTTAGAATCTGTCCCGTGTAAGATCACAATTGTCTAATTGGAGGGTCAAGTTTGGACTAGACGTTGTGTGCTTGGACTGCGACACGCAACCTCAACGAAATGAACCTTAGTCACTGCGATCACTGGGACCGTATTCAAAGTAGATGGAAATTGGGTGTTGCCCACCAGAAAACACTGCACAACCACGACGCCTTTCGATGTAATTTCATCGTCTATTGCCAGGTCTAATGTACCGTGTTGGGATAAGACATCCGGCCGTATCAGAGAAACTGCGGACCCGATATCAATATCAAAATTCCCAGGTTGCTGGTTTACATTGACAGACACGACACGGTTTTTCCGAGGTTATGTCGTGAATAAATTTGTTGTGGTATTGCTCTAGTTCTGTTGTATGTACTCATTGATATGGTTTGTAACCTGGTGTTGCTTAGGTGAAAATAATTTCTGCTTGGGAAGATATACTTTCTGAATTTGATCTACTTTGCCACAAAATCTACACACTGAATGAAGGTGCTGACAGCGAGTTAAGGACGATTGACGTTCACCGCAGGAATAACAAGGAAACCCTCTACACTGTACAAGTGGATTTGACGCTTGTTTACAGTTAGTCTGGGTGACATTGTTTACTTCCTGTGAAATCAACTGTTTGCTGGAAGGAAACGCAGCTGGTTCCTGAAGGAGGTTTACACACTGTCGGAAAATCCCACAGGCATTTGCCTCCTCAGACAGCAGCTGCTTTCCTGCCGCCTGTAAGAGCATCGCTTCTTCGAAGTGGTTCGGTTTAATCTGATCATAGGCACAATCGGGAAAGGCACTAAGATGTAGAGAGATAAACTCATTTACACTCCAATTAGTTTGTTGCCCTACGATGTTGAATGTGTATGTGTGACTTTTCCCCACAGTTGGATCAGGAAATAGAATTGATGGTAGGTCGCTTTTCGCATGCAGCTGTAAACCGTCGTAACGACCCTGGCCCCCATTACCCAGATGGTGACAGAATGGTTGCTTTTTGCTGCATCGTCTACCGGGTTGTTGCCGCCAAGAAACAAAAGTAGCTCAGTGTAATTAATGAAGGTAATTTTCCACTGTATCCGTTGCTAGATAGTAGGTATTTCAGTAGGGAAATTCCAAAACGGTAGGGGGCGCCGTAATCTAAGTTGTCATGGATAATCCGATAACCTTCGTCGCCAAAATCTTTCAAGCAAAATGAGAACAACAGCATGGCAGTAGGAGAACTTTAGAAGCATGCTTGCAGCGGTGCACTGTTTTCAGCAGATGTTAGCACGTAACAAACTGTTTGCCGCGAGAGTCACATGGAGGCGAGAACGAGTTCCATTTCAAAGCGAATCAGCGGCGGACCCAGGTTGGTTGGCACATAAATACGTACGCAAGCAGGTACACATGCTTGTACGAAGCATTCTTTCCGGCTGAATAGCAGTGGATGGAATAGGCACGACCGATAAACATATCAATCTGCTGAGAGCAAATCTACTCGAAACTCGTAATAGTGTACAGTGTTTCTGGACGTGCAGCACCCAGTTGCCATCGGCTTCAACTATGATGCTCTTGTTCTAATGACCAACGTTCACTTCAATAGGAATCACGGTCAGCACTGAGATTGTGTGCCGTAATCCATTCACGAACTTTACTTCAAAATAACCTCACATGTCCTTACATCTATTTTTGTACGAAACCGATGAGGAGTAACCAAATGTGCGTCTATTGAAATTCAGTTGTTCTTTATCTAAGGCATTTAATTCACATGTTCACGGAGTGCGAACCACAATGCAGCCGTATTAGAATGATGAGTTTATAGTGATTTTTGTGCCATGATTCTTGATGTTTTAATATTAATAACAGATTAACATGCCCAATACGTGCTTCGCTTTTTAACAGTTTATGTTGCATGCTACATGAAGCTTAGGGAGCAGGAATACCGCAGTCCTAAATCTTCGACAGAAGAGCATGTCGGAATAGCATCATAATGAAATCGAAATAGTCATGCCTTTATATAGCATACGTCAGCCATTATATTGCATTTCGCTTTATAGAAATGCGTCTGACGCTTTGAAGCCCAGCCTTCATTGGCTTATAGGCTGCCTTTAATTTTCAAAACTGCATAAAGTGCTGAATGAAAGGTTTTCTCAAATATGATTAATTAAAGCGTATGATAGGTACAAGAATATTAAGTTAAATACAAAAATGTAAGGAACAACTACGTTTCATTGAACTTCGCCAATGGCAAACATATGCGGAGTATACATGAATCCGTTTGTGTTGACTGTCCGCTAGCGTCCTATCAGATTACATGCAAGCGGTATTAATTATAATCCATTGTGTGGGACTTCATCAAACATTTTGCGCATGACAACATGTATGTCAAAGTACTGTAGTTCAGAAGTAATTACGTTATGAAGATTTTCTAAGAAATAAATTTGGGAAGTAATATATGAACAGGATTGTAAGAAGTTTTGCTGCGAATCTGGGCGGTGGATATGCGATAATGGTGAAGAAGTTGTTTTCATTTCAAATTCTATCCATCAATTATGATGGAACTTCAAGTGTGAGGCACAGAATGATAGTAACAAGTATTTTATACAGATCCTGATTTGTATCGTGGTGTAACAACATCCTGCCTCTAAGTTTAGATACCGACCTGACTGTAAGAACTTGGAAAATACAGTCATAATAATTCGGGATATTATCACCATCAATTAGGTATTAGCTGAAGTGATGCCGTCGTAAAGAAAGATAGTATAAAAGCAGTAAGTTAGAAACATGTTTAATGACATCGGTGCTACATCACATAACAGGAACACTTGCATAAAACATAAATAATGCTAGATGTACAAGTATTGTATTTCCGATGCTGCATAGTCCGGCAAGGTATACACCAGAGGCATTTGCCGTAGCACTTGAGGTGTCGACAACGTTACCATCTGATGTGACAATATGTGAGGGTAGGTATGTTAGTCTCCAATTTCCTTTCTCCATCAAATACTTAGCTCAATAACTTTGTTCTCTCCTCTGGTCTAGGGTGCGTAGGTTTCCATGTAAACGTTCCAAATGCAATTATTTGTACCTGCGACAGCACAATGTCATCATGTGTTTTACCTGCGCCCAGGTTAGTATCTGAAGTTTTCTCATCTTTAGTTTTAATAATGAAGTAAATAAACTGTTTTCTTTTACAAAGTCAGTAATTGCAATCCATGGTTTGGGTTGTTATAAATTGGAGCAGATTTATGCTGCAGTACATAGGACAGAGAAAGTGTCGCACAAATTTATCCGGACTAAGTGTAAAAATAATTTCACGTTCACAGATTCAAGGACAAAGGCGTGAATTACTGATTGGAACTGTGAGATGTCAGTTTCTATTTTGCATGCAGCTAATTTGTAATACATGTTTCTCCTCAGTGGAAATGGATTTAGTGCCTAAAATCAAACTGGGTCCAATACCATTTTACTCCTTCCGGACAGAAATTATGTTCAGTCCACCCTCAAGTCATAAGTACATTTATAAAGTTCGTGTTATTCCGATTGGGTACACAGGTTAAAGTTCCTAAAAATGACTTTATTTAGCAGAAAAATTTTTGAGCTGCTGTTAAAATTAGTTGCTCATTGGAGCTCTAGATTCTGACTACCTACAGGTAGGCGGTAGCTGTAACTTCCGATTGATTGGTATCCGCCAAACGGTAGAATTATCTACATTAAACCTGATGAAGGACACGTAAGCGGAAGTGCACATGCAGAAAAACTAGGTTCTGTGAATGGTGAAAGATGCATCTACAACCCAACCTGTAATATCATCATCATTATAATCTTCAACATCAGTACGTCAGTCATTTGCACTGAGGCCCCGCTGCCATACAACCATGATGACCTAAAGAACAAAGAGTAATAAGAGGGAGAGAAGGGCGGCTTGCCTGAAAACCTTAATATCCTAAACAAACATTTAGGGTCAGTTCGCCTAGACATTATATTAGCAACACACCATCAAAAGCAACTGGCTATCGTGGCATAAGTGCCACGTGCAGCCGAAAGTTTTCGGATGTATAGGCCAATAGTCACTCTAGGCCTCCTGATAACCACCTTAGCAACTACTGCTGGTTTTCACAGCATTTCATGATGTGACATTGGATTATAAGGTGAGCTATGTGCTACGCAATTACTACTAATTCAATTGCCGTATAGTTTATCTTTTATAGGGTTCACAACCCGCATGGCAAAGAAGAGAAACATATAAACAAAATGATGGCGAAGCTTTGACCAGGGACAACTCAGATGTTGGTTCTATGCCAGATACGATTTGCGTCAACACTGATGATGTGATCCGAAATACCAGAATTCTTAGCCACAAGACTCTTTGATTGAAAGTAATACAAGGGCATTTGCTAGGTTGACTTCCCGCGATGGAACCAACCGCTTCAAGTTTCAACTTGTTTCAGCGCCTAGGCAGACCAAGAGGAAAATGTGGTGAGCCACGATTTTCGGTACACGCATATATGCAGGCTCCAACCTCGTCCAGACAGCGTCAAGCAAAGCTGTCTAGATGACAGGTGACTCAAGGTTTATTGCAACCTGCGTATTAGTTGAGACCCGAGGTTACGCACATAGTATCAGTCAAGTAGCGACCATGGCGTAAAGCAGCTTCGGATTGAGACGTAGTTAATTCGAGTCAAATTTCAAACTATAGCAGCGATCTACAAGTAAAAATTTGCAATGACTTTATTAGTGGTAACTGAATGATTACAGGTGGAGCCTAGTAGAGGGCTCACATAATGTTTTTCTTAATAAAATTAGATATAGTAGTTAGCCTACAAAGTGAAGAGTTTGGGAGTAAGTTTCTTTACAGAATGCACCAAACTAGCAAATGGACGTTAGATAATGATCCATAAGTGTATATCTAAAAGTATGAAATGTCTAGAAGACTCGCACTGAAACAAGTTAAACGAGTGTAGAAACTTAAAGATGGGAAATGTTGGTCGGCACAAATTGATGAAGAGAGCTAAATTTTGTCTACGTTACGGTGCGGCCTTGCCGATTTGGGGCGTTTGTCCTACGTGAGGCAAAACGGTTTTCTCATCTGAATAGTGAACTGCCGCAGCCATCACGATATATCTTGCTGCACAAAATACAAGAGGCCCTTTAAATAAAACCTAATGCATACGACGATATGCTACACTGAAGATATGTTAGCGAGGGAGTTTGTCAATGCATACGTTGATCAACAAAGATGGTCAGGATTAATCGCATCTCCCATAAGTTGGTTGACCAGAAGCACGACTGCGAATGCAAATGTTGACGGCGGATTTATTTCAGTAGGCATTCATTCACAAACAAATCCATACATGCTGGCCTGCCAGATGTTTTCTTTACACTGTTAGGTTTATTGTTTAAGAGGCATTTGTGCTTTAAATAACCGGACAGAAAAATGTGTAAACATCTTGACAGGTGTGAACATTGAATTACCTGGTCTGTATTTGAGATGAAAACCGGCATTTTGGGTTGAATAATCGCTGATGAATAACAACGACACTTTGTTGTTTCGAGAGCTGAATGGAAGTTGGTGATTTGGTCCATACGCCACCGTAAGACGTGGTGCCATGCAGTCCGGACCGTCAAATATGACCAAGTAGTCCAAAAGGTGCGAGCCGTCATATTCCAGCTGAAACATTTGTATTACTTTTGTTAAACATCTGATAATAAAGCAGCTACTATCGGAGATTTACAACTGATGAAAGTTGCTTTTGCGAAATCGAAATCACAAATTCATTAAAGTGTTTTATCGACACGCCATTGTTGCTCACAGTATAATGAAGCTTTGAACTTGGACACAGAAGCAGGGCCTCAATTATTGCACAATATATTAATATGAACATGTTGCTTGATGCATAAAGTATGTGCAATCTAGCTTATTTGACAGTTATTGACTGCCTCATTGTTATTGTTACGTTAGAAATCTGACTTTACAATGATTACAGCCTGTGTGCTTGAAATATAGAGCATACGTTTAGAGTAATCATTTGCATAAGTAGTTCTTTAAGGCTGGTTAATTTGTACTGTGTAAGGCTTCCTATCATTTGCACCACACATTTTGAATTCACCTGACCTTGTAATTATTGACGTTGTAGTGGGCACATTTTTCTCACTCAAAATGACTTCAACCAAAGAGAGCTGCGACGGATTCCCCTTGGGTTGGACTCATTAACAAGGTACAAAACAGCTCAGACTGTCTATCCTGCTGAGTCCAAACTAGGACGAAGCCGTCGGTTGTGTGGTGTCGTTGTTGGCAAGTGCATCGCCAAAACACCTCCAATTTATATCCGGTCCTTTTGTACGGAATGCCCAAGATCTACCTGAAAGTGCACATAGTTTTCGATAAAGAGTGTGTCGCAATCCAAAAACAGCGGGTTCTCCAAGTCCAACTTTGAACAGTTGCTATTTGCTTGCATCTAGGAGTTATATGCATGCAGTCATTTTACATCAATCTAAGAGGATCAGTTTGGGAGCAGTTAAGCCGCAGTTACGCTGTGAACTGAATACGTGTAAGGGCAATGGATGTCATGAAAATCTGTTTTACATTTGGAAATTTGATACAACCTAGCATTTGTGATTGAATATCCATCACAGTTGGGCTGGACCTCACCATGGTGCGATGGTTTGTGTGCCTCAGTAATCCATTGAGTTATGCTTGGTGGTGCTTTTTTCGCACATTCAGATCCACTCATACCAGATTGGTCAATGGTTTGAGGCCAGACAAACTCAGCCCCTGGTCCTCCAGGTTGGGGGTTGGAATGAGGTGGCTCCTTATTTCATAAAACCGGCTCTCTGTAGTCCAGTGTCAAAATCCGCTAACTTGCGGTAAAAATTTGAACCAAAGGCTTTGGCTGAGAACCCTAATTGTTCTCCTGTCTAGGCCTGAGCAACCTGACAGTATCCTGCCCACACAATACAATGAACTTTCCTTTTAAATATTTCTTGATGCTCTGGCCGTCGCAGAGGATAATAAACGGCACCCTATCTGCCGTATCGAGCAGAGTAGATAGGGGTTTGGATGCTGCTGCTCAGTCCTTCCGGTTTTCTTATCCCCCTTCTTGCGCTACCTCATCCTTATCGTCCCGCTCCAACTTTACATTTATCCCCCATGTTCAATACCCCAATTCTTGGCCCTTCCCCAGCTTGCTTAAATAGTCGCTTGTCTTCTAGTTTCTAATCACACACCGTCGCAGGGTGTCGATCCAATCCAGTCAACTAGTCCATGTTCAACCAAGGGGACAACGTCTGTTCATCCGTTTCCATTTGGTGTCCTCTCGTCTCGCTAAGACTGGCGTGCCTCAACCTGCGCACTTTGCTACAGCTTGGCCAACAAGCTGCACTTGCCCGCACACTAGAGACCCTATCGAACGATATTTGCTGTTTGGCAGAAACCCGCCTGCAAGATTCGATCTCCGTGGTTACCCTGAGATCCCCCACATGCGACACTGGCGGCACATTCTCACTGCGCCTGTCTGGCGATGATGCAGCTTTAAATGCCGGTCAACCTGGCGTCGGCATTGTTTTGAGTCCCCGGGCTGAAGCTGCCCTGATTGATTGGATCCCAGTAAACAGTAAGATGTGCGCCGTTAGATTAGCTGGTTCGTTCCGTGCTAGAAAGTAGCGCGGGGACAAACGGTGCCTGTTTGTCGATGCGGCCTACGCCACTACAAGCTGTAGCACTGATTCGGTAAAAGATGATTTCTATCAGCAACTTCACGCGCTCCCTCGTAACAGAAGAAGCACGGATACTGTGGTGTTGGCTGGCGATCTAAACGCCTAAGTCGGAAAATTGTCCTCTGATGAGCTGCATATGGGCGGACAACATGGTGTAGGCTTTCGCAATGATAATGGTGAGCGATTGCTACAGCTATGTGAAGAGGAGCGCCCCTTTCTCTCGAGCACTAACTTTGGACACAGCACCCGCAGAAGCGTGACTTGGCGGCAACCCGCCTGGGGACAGCCGTGGACGCAAATCGGTCACATCGCGATCAATTACCGCTGGAGAGGCTGTGTCCAAAACTGTCGCTCTATTTGGAGCACAGGTGTGGACTCTGACCACGCACTTGTCTGTGCCGACCTCCTGGTGCGTTCCGGTGGACGTCCGCAACGTCGATGTGAACGGATTGACACCAGCCAGCTGGCGAAGCCAGGGCTTCAGAATGTGTACCAAAGTGCGCTAACATCTGGGCTGAGTAAGCGCCCACTAAACACCGTTGAAGATCACTGGCTGCATATTCTTCAAGCGTTGCTGTTAGCAGGCATGTCTTCATGTGGCAAAGCAAATTGCCAAGCCAGACATTGGGTCTCTACACGGTCTCTGGAACTTATGGATGCTCGCCAACTTTTTCCGGCTGGAAGCGAATGCAATGAGGCTCGCAAAAATCTCAGGGTAAAACTACGTGCTAGCCTGAAGAAGGACCGCGAAACCTGGTTGTCTCATCGTGCCTCTGAGATGGAAACCGCCGCTGCCGTTGGTAATTATTGTAAGTTATTCCGTCTGATACGGGAAACATGCAGCAGGAGACCCGGTGTTACCGAGACCATACACGACGAGAGTGGGCAGCCGATCCACAGCCTGTCAAAACGTTTGGAGCGTTGGGCCAAACAGTTTGCAGGCAGTGTAACCAACCTAAGTTATCGGTTTCTTTTTAGGGCATTGAATGCCCTTCTTCCTGGGCGGTCTCCTTGGATCCGCCCTCACGCGCAGAAGTCGAATTTGAGATAATGATGTTGAAATTGCATAAGGCCGCAGAGGCAGATGGGATTCCATCAAACCTATTCAAATTCGAGGTACCTGCTATTTTAGATGTTTTACGCGTGTTGCTAGTGAAGCTTTGGGAGCATGACACGGTCCCGCCAGACAGGAAAAGCACTCTCGTTGTCCCAATTTTCAAGAAAAATATCCCGTTTGGCATGCGGCAATCCTAGAGGTAACAGTCCGATTTAGATTGCCTTTAAATTGCTTGCCTCTGTCATTTTCCTCAGAAGGTCTGACACCCATGGAATCCAGATTCGTGAAGAGCAAGCCGGATTTCTTCGAGGTCGGGGCTGCATCGACCACATCTTCACCTTGCATCAATTGTTGCAGCACCGCCATGTTTATTGGCGACCCACCGTTTTCGTGCTTTTGACATAAAAGGTGCCTTCGACTCAGTCGATCGACGTGCCCTTCGGGACTGTCTGCTGAGTATAGGTGTGCCTGATAAATACGTAAACATTATCAAAGCACTAGACGCGCGTAGTTCAGGTAGAGTGAGGGTTTATGGCAAATTGTCGCCACCCTTCAGTATCACCAGCGGTGTGAGATAACGTCGCCCGCTGTCACCTTTCTTCTTTAACTTCGATATTGATTAAGTCATGGAAACATTGTTCACCGGACACGACATAGAACGTGTGGAGCTACTTCCTGGTGGGCGACTTATTGTCTTAGATTCTGCGGACGATATTACCCTAATCTGTGACAGCCCCAAACGTGGAAAGCAGCACTGTACCGATTAGAACTGGCTGTCAATCGTTTGGGGCTATGCATTGCTCCGTCGAAATGCAAAATTATAATCCAAGGTTGGCAAGGACCCAACCCTGCGCTAATGCTTTTTGATGATCTGCCAGACGTCGTTCAGGAATTCAAGTACCTGGGCAGCTATATTAGCACCCGTGAGATTGAAGATGAGGTTACGAACCGTACAGCCAAAGCTCGAGGTGCTTTTGCCAATATCCGCCACCTGTGGCGCAGACGCGACATTACTCTCGGCCTGAAGGGCAGAGTTTATAACGCAGCCGTCCGTTCAACTCTCCTATATAGTTGTAAAACCTGGCCCATCTGGTCGACAGACATAAAGTGTCTCGTCATATTCGGTCATTGATGCCTTCGCAGCTTAGCTCATGTCTGGTGGGTGCACCGCGTGAGCAATTAGAGTGTTCTGCGTTGCGTAATTGGTGCAGAAAGAGTGAGTGAACCGTTTGGCACCATTATATCTTGCACCCGGATCGGAGGGCTGGGTCACGTGTTGTGTATGCCAGTACACCGACTCCCGCGACGTGCATTGTTTGCGCCTTGTGGGTGCGGTTGGAAGAGGAGAAGGGAGGCCAAGTGATGAATTGGTCGAGAGAAATGAAAGCTCTCACTTCGAAATGGGCGTCGGTTGGTGCATCTCGACTGCCTGGCTGGGGTCCTAAGGACGGTGAACACGGTTGGTTGGACACACTTGCTGATATGGCTGGGAGCCGTCCCCAATGGTGTTTGTGTTGTGAGTTCTTTTATGCATCCCCCTCCTGCTTAGCATCTCCTCCAATCACGATCCCATCTGTTAGGCATAATATGACTCTCTTTTTACGACACGATAGCCAGCTGTTAACTCTCCGGAACGATGTCCATCCGTTACTGGGGACTCAGACGGCGTGCCATTGCTTGTTTTCGTTTTCTTGCTTTTTGTATTGCGGCATAATAGCTGAGGTGTTTTCCACTGGCAGCTAACATTTATACTGATAATGATGATGACGTGATTAAATATATCCATCGTGCTCCAGCCTTGTAGTCGCGAGGACTTTGATGGGTATAATTTTTCATCAAATAAATTCAGGCATATATTGACCCGGATACTACCCAGTTAATTGCGCAAACGCAGGCTTCGCTCATTTTCTGCGGCCCAGACTTGCGATGGAATCTCGGCGTAAACCCGTTCGGTAAGCAACATGAAAACAAGCATATTTTCATTCATATTGTCGCGTAACTCTTAAGATTGATTTATAAAATGTATTGTCTACGTAGTCGCGCATATACCCTCTACGACCGCTCATATCTTCTATCTTAAAGTGGACAATATGAATTATGATAGACAGCACGCAAGGTGTATCAATAACTAGACTTGTTTCACTAGCAGTTTATAGAGAATGATCCGCGTTCGAATCAAACTAGCCGTCTAATCATATGTACTGTCATCCGTCGCTTCTACCACAAATTCACGTCCTTTGTCGACCTACGAATTATTCCGGGAACTTAGTCTGACCCTAGTCCTAGGAATACGTAACATGTAGCAGGTGTGTAAGGACGCTGGATCGCTCACTGGTTTCTCGTACACGAATGGTTTTCAAATGCGTTTAGGAACGATTATCACTTTTGGATATGTGCAGATGTACCCAAAATCAGTGACGAAGTTCACGAGCAGAAAAGTGTAATGCTTTCAACTAACACTATAATCTCTAGATCCTGCATTAGTGAATACTGGTAAGCACTATCTCGCACAACTTCGGCTGCACTAGTAACTGTAGTGAATAGTTTCATCTAATTTGTCCCAGTAAACTATTGGAATGAACAAATTGTGTCCAAACGCATTCGTATGTATGCACAACAAATGGAATCTACCAGGAAGATTAATTGTTGACTGTACATCTTAAGCAAGTGCTATTCCTTCATTAGACTCATCATAATGCATCCAATATATGATAACATCTGTCACTCACGTCAAGACCAAAAAATCTCAAGCGAATTCCTTGTGCATTTGGGGTGGAGAGTGTAGCGCTACAAAACATCTTGGGTGGATAATGCCGAAGTTCAATGCTTCCATTTGATGCAGTCGGATGGGAGGGAAAGCAAGGGCTTTGCAAAACTATACGAAACAAAGTAACAGAAATGGAAGCATTGCAGTAAGTCAACTAATTGGTAACCGCTAGAAAATCAACATCGTTAATATTATAAATGTAGAACAACATCAAGTTCAAATCAATTTACTTCTGCACAACTTTAGACTCTAGAAACACAGTGTTATTATTGAAACATGCAGCTATTCTGTTCTGTACGCCAACAATTGTATAGCTTAATGTAGCAGTGTTTGCAAAGCTGTTTGTCTTCAGCATGGTACATTCACTTTCGATAGGCGACTCCGTGCAGCTTAATTCTTGCACCAATGTGCGTCAGTTGTGTTAGCATTTCACGCTTGCTCAGTTTGTCTACAAATCCTAAAATTTGAGCTTCGCTTTTATATTGGCCTCAACTGACTGTGGCTCATCGCCCTGACAATTTTATACGGTACATCCAAAGCGGCTGTTTGGATCCCACTGAAGTGCATCTGTTGATGTACAAATGCTGTTTGGACCAGGTTACTTTCTATAGAAGACCTGATTTTGCGCGTTACTATCCAGCTGCTCTACAAAACAACTATGGGCTGTTTTGATGAATGACAAACCTATGTGCCATTCATATATCATATAAACCTTGGCAATTTTTTCTTTTCTCTAAATACATCTAAGTTTATCATGAACATGCAGAAACCGACAAGCACTGGCTATATTGCTCTGCATTGTCATCTTAGCCAGGGTTTAACTAATCAGTTCACATGACTATACGGATTATAGGCACTATTAACAGTCGATCTGAGTCTCTCCCTGAAGGGCCGAGAAATTTTTGCTGCGCTAGTAGCTATGCAGCTCTGGCGTGAGTCTGAGAATACGCAAGTACTCTCCAGAGAATGTCACATTTTAAAGAGAAAAATGAGTTGACATGTGCAATTTCGATTTGTTATACAAACAGACGGCGGACTGCACCTTCAAACGACGGATGCAAATATAGTTCACATAATGCTTGTAGCAACGTATCAGCATTTTCCATTATAAACGTATAGATGCCGGCGAACATTGGCCTTTTTCCTGTACATTGTCATTTTAACCGGTGACTAAATAATAAGATTTGTTACTGAAATGATTCTGGAGGCCATTAGCGTCTAACCTGAGTCACTAACTGAAGGGCCGGGTAAACAATAACGCGGTAAGAGCCATCCTACTCTGTGGTTGCGAGACTTGGCCTGTTAATGCAAATGAGTTTCAGAGGTTATTTGTTTCTTTTACCTATGCCTTTGGAGCACTGATGGTGTACGATGGCAACAACAAATTAGTAATGCGGATGTACGTAGAATAATATTCAGATATAAGTGTTTGCCAGCCAATGAGCGGCATAATTTCATTGCATAGGCTTCGGTGACTTGGGCACATGCTTCGCATTGTCGCTGAGCGTTTCTATCGCCATGTATTCTTCGCGCGCGGAGAAGTCGGTTTGCAGTATCATCAAGGTAACCAACGTATGAGTTGAGCCAAAAGTATGAAGACGCTGACCTCAAATTTGGTCGCGGTCGGACGCTGTCGGCTACTTAGATGTGGACGCAAAGATGACAAGCGCATATGGCCGGAAACAATCTCGGATGTAGCACGGGACCATGTACAATTATGATCATGTTGCTGCACTCTTTTCCTGTAACTTTGTTTTACACATTGTACTCTCTTTATTTCCACTTATTGTTATGTATTTCATATTTTTGCATGCCAATTACACTCTACTTTTGCAATGTCCAAACTGGGTGCAGAAAAATATGTCCAGAGTCAGGATGCATATTTGTTCCTGCCGTTCGGGATTAACCATCTCGCTGAGATGTTGGACACAACATCTTTTCTCTTATGAAGTGCTGCAACTGCCCGACAATGGTGTGTTTGCCGCAAACTGGGATGAACACACTCTTTCTGTGTTAGACTGACAATCCGTGTGATCTTTTGCGTCACTTATTGCAAAAGTATGAGCGCAACCTGAAGAATAATTACGTAGCTCCTAATGTAGGACCGCAGTAAGGTAGGCTGTAACGGTGTTCCACCGTTACGGTGATAAAAACATTTGGAAATTTCCGTCAGCATTTCAAGCGATTTACTTAGCCTTTTTACTGATCATCTATGAGTTTGCCATTGTGTATACGTTGCTTTAGTTGAAGGAAAGGTATTTTAGGCTTCACACTGCTCAGATCAACCGAGACGAATTGACGCACAAGTGCTGACACGGTTCACGGTAGAGGTCAGCTTTTCGTTCTCAGATATTTGGGACGACGGGATAAACCACCTTTATTTTCTGTCGCTATTAATTTTTGAACCTTGCATGCTGTAAAACATGCTTTAACCGTTCTGCCCGACTTTCTTGGTGGATTTTGAGTGAAACACTTATACGCGTTGATCATCTGAGTGGATATGGGGTGGTCTGGGTGCAGGAATAGCAATCGCATGTATGTACATTTCTAGTTGGATATTTGCTCAGCCTATTCAGATTGACTAAATGGCCCTATATGAATATACCCTGTTTCACTAACACAACTAGGTGGATTTTAATGGAGACGCACTGTATTATTTGGCAGTAATAATAATACTAACGTATGTGCTAAGTTTTACGTAACATGCCCTTTCAGGCATTATCAGGCTTTTACATGCATAGTACACTGTTATCAGTAGAGAAATAAAACAAATGCTGTAAAATGGAGTAAGAAGTGCAGGGGATGTTCAAAAATTGGAATCACTAGAAATTCTACTTATTATTAAGGCGAATCCTGCAACCGACACATTGGAACTTGCATCCATGCCGAGTATTTGTGGGAAAATTTGATCCGCACTTTCACGCCTAACTGGTATTGTACCGACGTGGCTTAGCAATATAGAAGACATCGCTACATTAACTCATTTTCCGGCCACATTTTATGTAGTTAGGGGCTACTTCCGATATTCGGGCTATTTTATTATTTTGAAAATAATGCTTTTGCAATGATTGGATTTGTGGCATTTCGTCTCTCGTCGGTCCAATAAGTACCCTAGAAATCGATCTCAACCTTTTATTTGGCATTGCACTGATTTTGTGCTCTAAGGCCTACACTGATACTGACGCTTTTATTACAAATGGAGCAATTAAGTAGCATTGCTTTTGCGTACAAGCAGTTCCGGCTAAATCTGTGCTTTTTGTGGCAAAAGGCTCCGTTTTCTGGAGTAATCCGTCGCAGTACCCCCTCAATCCGCAGGCTTTGATATGCCTTATAAACTCCCGTCAGCACTATTTCGATCTTAGTAGTTTAGTCATTGGTGTGCCCACCTCGAACCCCGCCCTAGTGCAGACCCCATGACTTCTGGATGTCAGCAGATTTTGTCGTCAGCCATGGGATACGAATGCGGGCGTGTGTGGCAGTCAGTTGCCTGCCCCTGTCACACTGACATTCTGTTTTTCGAAAGCAGGGTACCGAGTATTATCTAGCTTAAGCGGGTCGGATCCTTGGGATCGTTCACACAAGAATTTGGGGAATATAACAAGATACTATATCTTTTTACCTAAATCACATGGATACGTCATGGAATATGCTGCATAGTCAGTTAAGCTGAATTCAATGCATTACAATGCATTCCTCGCATAACTAGACTAGGATCACTTTCTCCATTTATATATTTATTCCTAACCTTAACTGGCCATTTCTTTATAACCCAAGTTGTGGGCTAAACATCTGAGCGTTGCCATGATAGAGCCATTCCGTTTCCAATGATGGCATTCGTAACCAAAATGAACGTGTGTATTGTCCGTTCAAGTCACTTTGCTTTGCTTATGTATCAAATCTAAATTTTTCCGGTTCTTTGTACTAATACGCTGCATCTGCCGTAATCTGTCCTCGTTATGCATGAATTATTTAGGCACTTTATTGTATCCAGTAAATAAATTGTCTTGTTTTTGCTTGTGCTAACTATTGATGTACCAAGACAATTAAAATTTTGGAGAAATTCCTTCTATAATAGTTCGAATTGTACAAATAATTTGTGGTATATACCAACCTAATGAATGAATTACTGTCTGCAGACAAGTGAAGCAGTGCAGCTCATCTCGTAATCATTTGAAGGAAAGGTTAGAAAATTTGTTAAAATTTATGGAGCGAAATCCACCTGATTAGGAAAAGTTGGAATTAATTGTATGAATAGCCGAAATGCACTGAACTTCGTATTTATGCGTATGTAAGAAAATAGTGCTGAACAAATCCAAATTGTTTTCAACGGACCTGATAACTGACATCGCAAAATGATTTGAAATCGCTTAAAAACTTAAGTGGACACAAATCATTTTCTCTGTGTTCGGGGTTTTGATATTTAACTTGTCTTTAGAAATTTGCGGAGTATTTATTGCGATTTTGTAGTTGCTGGATTTACGAACGAATATTTCATCAGCCTTTCCAGATATCTAATTGTTCCTGCAAAATACGTTTATCGTGTCATTAAATTGTGGTGTTTATCTTATTTAGTAGAAGCAGGACAGCTTAATACCCCGAGACAAAGAGGGTTAACGTCACTAGCAGGAAAATTACCGCCGCTTTGGCAATACTTCGGTACTGATTTTAATAATGGAACGAAGAATCATAGAAAATAGTACGCCGTTGCTAAATTCACAAAATCTTATTGACAGAAGATAACATGGGTTCCTTCGTTGTCGTTCATGTCACACTCGCCAATTTGAATTACTGGACGACCTAAGCAAATGACTTGATCCGTACAGACGATGGTTGCTCATATCTTACGCATGAAAAGATCATCCGACTGTATGCTTCATGCAGAAGTGCTACAACGTGGCCTTTTATGGTTTTACTAACCCATTAATAGCTTCTCTGTCATTATGCTTGTTTACACGCGACCAATGTATCAGAGTACAAAACTGCTTATCTGCTGCTTTATACAGGAAAGGGCTTTGGGCTCACTGTTATTCCTGTTCGACACAAGCGATATTTTTTGGATCTTTTGACGTTGCAGACCCTTTCTTGGCGCGTATGTTATTACAGTTGCA